TTGTCCCCACTCTAGCCGAGAAGGTGACTTCACTGGGGAAGGACTGGCACCGTCCCTGCCTACGCTGCGAGCGCTGCAGCAAGACGCTGACCCCGGGGGGCCATGCTGAGGTAAGGGTTGTCCCAGCCCCCAGGGCCCTGGACAGCCCCTGCCTTTGGAAGAGGGCAGGGCAGGGCTGGAAGGAGCAGCTCCTGCAGCCTGGGGGGCTGGAACGTGTCCTGGGGACTAGCCTTTCCCCAGCCCTCCGCCCTGGGTGACGTGCTTCTCTCTGCCCCTCACAGCACGATGGACAGCCGTACTGCCACAAGCCCTGCTATGGGATCCTCTTTGGGCCAAAGGGTGAGTGCCTGGGGGTGCATGGGGTGAGCATCTGGTCCAGGGACATGCACCCCACCTGGGCTGCCACTCTCGATGCTCATGCCACCACCCAGAGGGGACATCTCCCTGGAGCATGCCACCTTTCCGCCTGGATCTTCACCCTCCTTCATCTTGCCCTCATGCAGGCGTCAACACCGGAGCTGTGGGAAGCTACATCTACGACAAAGACCCCGAGGCGAAGAACCAGCCCTAGAAGGCGTCTCCCTACCCGCCTGCCTGCTTTTTTTTTCTAACCTCCAGCTCACAGCCGGAGCAGACCCTGGCCACGGAGCTGTGCTCTCTCTGCTGTCTCTACTCCGGGCAGGATGGCCCTGCCCGCTGGGTTATATATCATAGTCTCTAATATAAGCTTCAGTGTTTAAAGGTAAAGGTAGAAGGTGTCTCTGGTGGTTCCCAATGCGCTCTGTCCTCCCTGGCCCTCCCACCACTCCCTCAAGTGTGAGAGGCAGTGGGGCAGGTGTGGGGACATCACTGTGTGCAGGATGGCACCTGAGGGGCTGAGAGTGAAGGGAGTCCTGCTGCAGAAGGGTGTTCGCTGCAACCCCCCCGGCATGGAGGGTGGTGGATTCAGGGTCTGGCACCACCTCCCTGTATCCCCATCCTTGCCACCCTCGAGGCATCCCTGTACGTACACCCAGGCAAGTGCTCAACCAGCTCAGTGGGTTGGTGGCTGCCCCCAAGCCTGATCCCCCACAGTGGCAGAGCTCATGCCAGGGGGGCATCCGGTGGCCACAGCCCTGGGGGCGTGGGGGGCTCCCCACCCGCGGAGGGCAGAGCGCATTGGGCTGGCGGCTTGGCGGCGGGACACCCGCCTGCTTCCCAGAGCCAGAGATTTCTCGTTGTCGTTGTTTATTTATAAGCAGTTGTAAATGTGCCCCTTGCTTTGGAGAATGACACGTGCCCCCCAGTCTCACCCATTTTTCCCCCTTCCTGTGCACACCCAGCCCTGCTGCTGCCCAGGAGGCCGGGAAGGGGACTGGTGCAGGGGACCCGCCGGGGTGGCAAGCCCTGAGGTGCCAGCACCCAGCTCTCTCTGGGCTCCCCATGCTGCCGCGGGGCTGACTTTTGTTATTTGCTGACAATAAAGGTTTTGAGAGATGTGTTGTGTGGCTCAGCTCTGGGCAGAGATGGAGGAAGCTTTGTGCACTGAGCAGGATCCCTCTGGTCCTGG